CTTCCTCCCCACTTCATTTCAACCAGTCCTTGAATTTCGCGGTGAATTTGTTCCTTCAGCTCCTTTAAGGACTTTGGCATATGTGGCAGGACGAACTGAATGTTTGTCTTGAAATTCCATTCATGGGTTTCGTCACGGAGCATGGGAGAGCGTTTTCCGTCGATGATTAGCTTGCAATAACGCAGTTTCTCATCGCAAACAGTAACAAACTCAACATTGCCGTAGCGAGACACCGGGGTGTCAAGGTCAATCCTGAGGTTCATGCGATGCCTGTATCCCTCAGCTCTCTCGACGTCAGCGAGCCTCCTTTCGAAACGGTCGAGGCGTTCTCTTTCCTCAAATCTTTCATATTCGGTCTCCTCAGTCTCAAATTCCTTTTCAAAGAGGTTGGTGAAGTCCGGCTTCTCCATACGGATCTTTTCGATTTTTCCACTGTCGAAAATGAATTTAACTTTTCTCGGAGCATGCTGTGTTGGAATCATAACAAACTCCCAGTCGTACTCTCCAAGGAGAACGTCGCGCATGTTCCACTTGTTCAGCCAGTTTCCACGGAGAACGGTCTTGATTCCAGCAAACTCAAATATCTTTTCCTTCTCGTTATGTCTCTTCCATCTTGGCAGCAGGACAGTTTTTTGTTCGCTTTCATGGAAGTATTCTCTCTTGTCGCTTAGGAAGCGGAAGAAGACCACCGGGTGTGACATGACGCGAATGAGAGTCTTCTCCTCAGTTGGAACGTTCATGGTGTACATGAGATGGAATTCTCTGTTGTATGTCATCTCCATGACAAAGTCAAGTGGGATACGGCCCTCAACAGCATGTACAACCTTGATTCCCTGTTCGAACAATGGATTCCACAGTCTCATTTCAATAAGTTTAGTGGCAGCCAAAGATGGTTCAGTAACCATTTCAACACGAAGACCATCAGTGATTCTCTTTATGACGAACGTTCCTTCTGCTGAAAAGACGGTTGGCATCTTGAATTTAGTGATGAGAGGAAGACCAAGGGTGGTGGGGATCTTCTTAATGTTCTCAAAGAAGAAAGTGAAAGTGTGCAGGTTAAATTCGGGATCGCGGTGGAATAGACGATCAAGCTCCCTGGTCTCAAGCCTTCCTTCTCTAATGTACTTCTCTACAAGTTCGTCGACTACCTCCTCATTGATAGGCAGGACTGCGTAGTCCATGTCTTTGTAGCGGAGGTAGAGCATCACATGAGGGGTTCTATTGTCGATGACACGTGGACGGATGTTGAGCTTCTTGGCAATCTCCTTGAGGATGTTCATAGATTCGCGGATGCGGCGTCCGCGAACAACGTTGTCTACTTCAGTTTCCATTCTCACGAGCTTGCGAGTAATTTTCTCAAGCAGTTTTTCAATGTTTTGCTGTGAGAATCCAAGCTGGAACAGATACTTATTCCACATTCCGTTGAAGACAGTGTCAAGAGACATCATGACCTCCTTAGGCCACACAGAGTTCTTTCCAAAGATGGTGGCGAAGTCCATGTTGAGGCCACTCAACATGTCCTCTGTGAACATTGGGATGTACTTGTAAGTGCTTGTGAGCATGCGGTCTCCACGCACATAGCGGGTCATGCTGAGAAGAGGGCGAATCTCTTTGGCGAGCTTCTTGTAGCAGGTATGGGTAGAGTGGACGAAGGACTTGAGCAAATCATAGGTGAAGGTTGCAACATGATGATTTGGCTCACGCTCCATTGTAGAGATGATCTGGACAATCACAGGCTGGTGTGGAAGAGTGTGCATAATGCGGACAAGTGCAGCCATTCTCAGTTCTGGCTCCTCATGGCGGTCCTTGTAAATTGGCATAAGAATAGACTGAATCTTGCGTGGCATCACTTCTCTAAGAAGGCGAAGGGCATCAATGGCTTCCATGCGAACAGGCAGCTCTTCACGCTTGTTCTTGATGATCCTCTCAAGTTCAAAAGCAGAAAGGTCAATTCCGGCATTGGCAAGCCATTTAAGGCACAGCACCTTTTCGTAAATGGTCTTGGCCTCATCATAATGACTCCTGAAAAGATTCAAATAATGAAGCTTCAAATCACTTCTCTCCTTCTTCGCGAAAACTTCTTCATCTTTCATAACATTTTCATCTTTTGTGTATCCAACGACACCGCGCATCATAGATCCGATGGTTAGCCAAAGAGCTTGGCGAACGACTGGGGAGCGTCTGACGATTTCTTCATGCGCAAAGCGAACCAGTTCCTCTACTATTTTGT